TAGCGCAGCTATTGCCTGGCTTCAGTTTCTAATTATTTTGATCTCTGAGTTAAGCCAGCTGGGCCATAATTGTCTTATTATCGTGTGTTCCGAGTGCCAAAATACTTTCTGCACAGAAAGCTGAACGCTTCAAACTTAAACAGCCATGCGAGGTAAACCAGTTCAGGGATCTGTCCATTGTAAATGACCGCGCTTCAGCAGATGTGTTGCCGAGGAGATGAGGATTTACCCTCGAAATCCTGTGGTTCTTTTTCTTAGCTCATTAATTAAACCTTAGAAAAATGTTCCCAGATAGCTTTGGATGCGAATTCTACTTGAATTTCAGCATTTCTAGCCGATCAATCAGATCGGTCTCAGGAAGCCATCAGATCAGTTCCTGTATGTAAGTCTGTAACTGTGTTTAGACTGCCACTTTCCAGGATTTTCTGGAGATGGCTGGATCATCCCATAATTCCTGCAATTTCGATTTCCGCACATTTGAAAGTCAGACATTTGGGTTGGGAAATCGAAGCAAAGCTGCAGTTAGCTGGACCGATGCTTCCCCCAGAGTAGCTCCTCTGCGAATTGTTGCCTCATGACTTTTTCCAAATGAGTAATCCGGAAAAGTGGGGATGCTTTTCTGAGATATCGTCTCATCTGCCCAACTTCTGCCCAGTCTCAAAAGAGATCAGTTAGGGAACTATGCATGGCATTGTCCCCGAATCAGTCCTTCAGTGTTATGCTTTATACAGCACTGAGTGGGAATGTGTGCAACTTAATGGATTGAAGCATTGCAATTCAGCTTTTATTTTTTACTTTTATTTTTATCTTCTAATTTTTACAAACTTTTTCATAATTCCATAAAATGTCTAAATTTAAATTTATTTCCGTATCCTCACGGCCTTGTTCACATCTGATGTGTTGTATATCTATTAATTTACAACTGGTACTGCTCGGGCAGCGTGAGTACGTTTGTCATTCGTTAAGAATCTGCCATGGTAAGGGGCCTGGCGTGATCGTCATGCGGCGGCGCAATGACCCTCGCACATTCGTTGAAATCAGTGGGATTCTCGCGATTTAATAAATTTTCCATTTTTCGTCGATGGGTT